AGATAAGGCAGAGCATAAACAATGATCATAACCCATCATGAACAATCCCCAATATAAATCCCAAAGTCACATCCCCCGAGACACTCGTAATCACAACTCATCCATGTCACAACACATAACACACTTTGGTGGCGCCACAGGACCAATCGCATGCCCATACATGAGGGTCAGCGCATATAGCTCTGACACGGCCCCGCAGCACCCTGCCCCGTATCGCAACACGGAGGGGTCGATCGCAACCGACCGATGAACCGCAGCTCATAAGAATGTGTAATCTGACTGTAGCCAGGAATTCCCATCTGACTACAGCCAGCCTCCGAACCGCAGCTCGGGAAAATGTCATCTGATTGCAGCCAGGAATTCCCATCTGACTACAACCAGCTTCTGGACCGCAGCCCAGGATACCGTCATCCGACTGCAGCCAGGAATTCCCATTTGACTGTAGCCGGCTTCTGAACCGCAGCTCAGGATAACCAATCCGATCGCAACCGAATTGGGGCAACACGCACAAGTAACACATAGCAAGCACATGCAACCCACATTACACATTGGGAAGGGGGATAAAGCGTATAACAAAACCTATGCGTGATCCATCACATACTAGGAATAGTCCTAAGGGGTTCATGCTTCTTCCACCTAGGTCAACGGGATACCAATTCAACTAGCATGCAATATAATAGACTCATAAACCTACGAACGGTACCCGAAATATCAAACTACATAGGCACGAAAAACGGGGTCCGTTGGGACGCCACGGGGATCGGGGAAACATCAAACGGGGAAGCCGGGGTCCCGAGGGGGGGGGGGGGGGAAATTCCAGCGGGTAGCCGGTGGGTGGGGATCCACCCGCCGGCTGCCCGCCGGCCATCACTGTTCCGGGCAGCGGGTGCCCGGCGGGCAGCTGCCCGCCCGCCGGCTGCCCGCTGCCGGAACTGCCCGGAGTTGCCACGGGTAGGTGGCGGGTCCCCTACCCCCACCTACCCCCCACTGACTCTTTTCATCACTTTTCGCCCCGGGAACCATTGTGGAACCCGAAACCATGCTTAGACACTTTACAACGCAATTAACGACAACACGTAGACAATTAACGGATCAAATACGAGAACGAACGGCACATAACCTATCATGCTTTTCTAAACATAATCAACACCCAAACATGCGATTTTCCCACCCGATAATCCAAGAATAATATCACACGATACAACCTAGGGTTCTAATCACTTTTATATCAACAAGAATACAATTCGTCTTCTAATTGCAAGATTCGGTAGGAACAACACATAATAGTCAAGGATACCAATTAATCTTCAAGAACATCATAATCATCAAGAACAACACATAATCATCAAACCCCAATTAATCATCAAGAACATCATAATTATCAAGAAACTCCCAATATCCAGATTATTAAGATTCTTCATGGAATCATTATATCGACATCAATAATAATCATCATCAATCGCCATTTGCAACAATATGGGGGAAACCCTAAGGGGAAATCATAGCTATGAAAATAGGTTTTGTTGAGACATGGGTTACCTCTTAGCCTTAATTAATTCCTTGGCTATGAAGGATCTTTCTTTAAGCTTTCTTGCTTTCTTGATTTCTTCTAAGGGAATTCTTGGAGCTCTCCTGGGGCGATGGGGTGTTTAGGCGTGTGGGGAGTTCTAGGTGTCTCCTAAGTTCCCTATTTATAGATTCAAGGGTTTATTTAGAGTTTATTCCTATTGGGTTTAGGGGTTGGGTTTATATAATTGGGCCCATGGGCTATGGTGGCCTTTTTCCCTAATTAACCATTATAATTTATTCTTTCCCCTGGGTTATTAATTAATTAATTAATTAAACAGTTGGTTTTAGGATCCGTAACACGGGGTGTTACAGCTATAAAGACCAATAATTTGTATTGGCGAGATAGATGAAAGCTTGATGTATAAACCGCAAAGTTTTAGGTTCGAAACTCACTCTTTATAATTTTATAAGGCAAATTTAAAGAAGCCTTAAATCAGCTCTTAGAGATGAAGTAGGAGGCTCCTGGGATACGTCGAGAAAAGCATACGAAAAACAAGGCTCCTGGTATACGTCGAGAAAAGCATACGAAATACAAGTGAGATAAATACTCAGAGATTCAAAGCTCAAAGAGAAGTCTCAAAGTTGGAAGCCAGTGAAACTTGTTTTTTCTATAAACAAGTGATATAGCAGTGTCGGAGAACACTAAGCGTGATTGGTGCGGGCTTTGTGGTCAAAGCACTAGATCACCGGATACGTCGAAGACGGGAGAAAGTAACACGAAGTTGTGAAATCTTGGATTGCCACACGGAGCTAGAACACTGGGCGTGATTGGTGCGGGCTTTGTGGTCAAAGCACTAGATCATGGGATACGTCGAAGACCGGGGAAAGTAACACGAAGTTGTGAAATCCTGGATTGCCACACGGAGCTGTGAGATCTGAAACAGCAGTGTCGGAGGCGCTGGGCGTGATTGGTGTGGGCTTGGTGATCAAAGCACCAGATCACGGGATACGTCGACTGGATCGTGGAAGACGGGGGGAAAGTAGCACGGAGTTGTGAAATCCTGGAAAGTAGCACGGAGCTGTGAAATCCAAAGCAGCAGTGTTGGAGGCACTAGGTGTGATTAGTGTGGGCTTAGTGATCAAAGCACTAGATCACGAAAATTCATTGTATCTAGGAACCAAGAAGTGGTGGATATAGTGAATTGCTCTTGGACGATAAGAACAAGTGGAGAAAGGGGATTACATCACCTCCGAACAACTATAAATTGCCTTGTGTCATTTACTGCTTTATTTACTTACTGCTCATCACGTAGATATACTTGACACAATCACACAACTCGTATTTATTTATTCCGCTGCGTATAAGACTTTAACAATCTAGTTAAGAGTCTTGATATCTCTATCGCCTCAACAATTGTTGTATTCGCGAAAACGGTTTAAAAGTCTATTCACCCCCCCCCCCTCTAGACTTTTACCACACCCCCTTTGGGACAACACATTCTAGTATGCTTTGCTAAATTGTTCTTCTAGGAATGTCGATGAAGTAAAGTCAGCGAAATAGCTGAAGAGAAAAGGAGTGTGCCATTCTGTTTTGAATGAAAAAAAGATACAAAAAACTTATTCAAGAGGAGAACCGGCCATTCATAATGGTGACGGTTATAACTACCGGGGTAGGAGAAAGACAAAAATACCCATCAACTATCCTTCATCTCCCAATACCCCCCATAAGCTGGAGTGTGCAAACTTTGGACACCCAGCTTGGACACAAAAACGTTGAACAGAGAAGATGCTAGAGGTTTTGTAAAACCATCAGCAACTTGGTTGATAGAAGCAACCGAGAGCAACTTGATTAGTCCCTGAGCCACAATTTCCCTTATTATATGACAATCGATCATGATGTGTTTGGTCCTCTCGTGAAAGAAAAAATTCTCTGCTATTGCTATAGCTGATTTACTATCACAGTAAACCACTGTAGGACTACTTATGTTTATACACAAATCCTGGAGTAGACTGGTTAGCCATTGCATTTCACACGCTGTCGTAGCAAGGGCGCGGTATTCTGCCTCGGATGAAGACTTGGATACGGTTGCTTGTTTCTTTGATCGCCATGAAACAAGAGAGGTGCCAAGAAAAATGCAGAATCCCGTTACAGACTTGCGTGTTTCAGTACATGATGCCCAATCAAAATCAGAAAACCCTTTGAGGCTGAGGGTACTATTCGATGTTGGGTAGAATAGGCCCTGTCCTTGAGATGATTTTATATAGCAGAGTATACGGTGAGAAGTAGCCATGTGTCTGTCCGTGGGGGCACTCACGAACTGGCTTAGAAGATGTACAGCATACGTAATTTCGGGCCTAGTGGCTGTAAGGTACAACAATCTTCCTATCAACCTCCGGTAGCTGCTTGGATCACTTAGAGGTGTACCATCATTACTGGATAAAAGAGAGCCTGGCATCATCGGAGTGTTTATTGGTTTGCAGTCAAGAAACCCTGTATCATTGAGTATATCCAGTGAATATTTCCTTTGGCAAATATTCAAACCATTGTCACTGATCTTTGCTTCCATGTCTAGAAAATAGCCTAGGGACCCCAAGTCCTTAATTTTAAAAGCTACATTCAGTGAGTTCTTCAATTCTTGTATAAGAGCCATCATTCCACTTGCCACCAATATGTCATCAACATTGACCAAGAGGGCAATGAGTTGATCAACATTGCCTCTTGTAAAGAGAGAGGGATCAACACTTGATTGTTTAAAACCATAGCTTAGCAGAGCAGTAGTTAATTTTGAGTTCCACTGCCGACTTGCCTACTTCAGTCCATAAAGAGACCTTGTTAATTTGCAAACCTGATTAGGCTTTTTGGCTTGGAAACCAGGGGGGAGCACCATGTAAACTTCTTCATCAAGATCACCATGGAGAAACACATTGTTTATGTCCATTTGATGGATATTCCATTTCTGAGATGCTGCTACTGCCAGAAATGTTCGAATCGTTGTCATTCTAGCCACCGGAGAAAATGTCTCTATGTAGTCTATTCCCGATTGTTGTGTGTACCCCTTTGCGACCAACCTTGCCTTGTCTCGTTCTATTTTGCCATCTGCCCTGAGCTTCGTCTTAAAAACCCATTTGTAGCCTATAGGAGACTTGCCAGTGGGCAACTCTGTCAGCTGCCATTTATTGTTCTCTTGGAGAGTTGCTATTTCTGCTTCCTCCTTCCAACACTGATGTTTTATAGCTTGATCATATGTGCGGGGTTCTGTGATAGAGGAGACAGCCAAGCTGAAAGCTCTATGTGGAGGTGAGAGGTTATCATCTGTCATGACTTTAGATAGGCTATGTGGAGAGGATCCCCTTCGAATAATGGATTCACATTAATAATCTTGTAACTTGTTTGGCATATGTTTATCTCTGTTCGAACGTCTGAGAGGAACATGAGGGATATCATTAACCAGTTCACTAGTGGCCTCTTCATTCGACATATCATATGATGGTTAGCTTGTGGCTGTACCAACTGTCTCATTATAAGTGGAATTATGTGAGGGTGGACTGACAGAATTATGAACATCTGCTCGATAGCTTTCATCATCTGCTTCTTGCTCAACTGCATGTCCAGCAAACTGCATATCACCGTGCATGGACTGCACCCCATTCTCTTCATTTGTTATCAAAGGAATTTTTGGCAGAGGGGGAATGGGAGCCTGTGACAATTGTTGTGGCTGCTCAGAGAAAGGGAACTGCAACTCATAAAAAGAGACATCACGAGATACAAAAATAGCTTTATCAAGCAAATCATATAATATATATCCCTTGGTATTCGTAGGTATGCCTATGAAGATGCATTTCCTGCCTCTAGGATCCATTTTGTTCCTTAGATGAGACAATGTAGAGGCAAAACAAAGGCACCTAAAAACTCTAAGAATCATGAGATCAGGTTCTTTGTTGTGTAGTCTGCAGTACGGGCTTGATCCTTCAATCACTTGTGAAGGGAGACGGTTGATTAAGTATACGACATGCAAGACACAACCCCCAAAATTCTAGGGGAAGTTGTGCTTGGAAACGAAGGGCTCTTGCAACATTGAGGATATGTTGGTATTTTCGCTCAACCACAGCGTTTTGTTGTGGAGTATTAACACACGACGTTTGATGAATAATGCCTTTATCCCCAAAGAACTCCTTCATATCAAACTCAAGGCCATTATCACTTCGCAAAACTTTGATCAAGGCTCCGAATTGAGTAAATACAAAACTGTGGAACTGTTTTATTAACTCTTTGGCTTCTGATTTCCTTTTCATCAAGTGCAGCCAGGTGAACCTTGAAAAATCATCCACTAAAGTCAGAAAATAATGCTCACCTCTTATAGAACTCACTGAGAAGGGACCCCATATGTTTGCGTGTATCCTATCAAAACAAGCATTTGTGTATGATCTACTTATGGGAAAAGGGGAACGTTTATGCTTGGCTAAGTGGCATACATCACAAGCATTGTTTGTAAGAGACAACTTCGGTATATCTTTAAGCAAATGCAATTTATTTATAGGAAAATGTCCTAAACGTTGATGCCAAATATCAACTTTATTACATTGCATAACCAATTTCCTGTGATCAAGAATGGAATTCAGTGGTGTCTTCATCATGTGGTACAACCCTTTTTCCTGTTTAGCTAAACCAACCGTCATCACAAGAGGTTCCTGAATCAAGCACTGTCCGGACGAAAAAACCAGATTATATGAAGTATCTCGGAGAAGTTTGCTCACAGATAATATATTAAATTGGAGTGATGGTATTATATGTGCATAAAATCTTTTAGCCAAAGATTGTTTTCAAGTCTTTTGTTTCCTTTGTGTTTGATAGCAACCAGTTCCCCAGTAGGTAGGCTAACTTCATCCCTTTCAACCACATAATACTCATCAAATGTCTCAAGGGAACATGCAATGTGATCAGTGGCTCCAGAATCTACAATCCATGTTGAGTTACACAGAGATAGAGAATTAACATAAGGGATAGATGACTTGCCTTCTCTGTTGTCCTCATTGAACTTGGGAATTAGAGAAATAGATGTTGCAGTACCATAACTAGAAGGTTGTCTCATCTGATTCTGAATGGCTGCCATAAGTTTTTGAAACTGACCACTTGTGACACCTAGGTCTGTCACATTATTCACCACAGAGGCTGTTCCGTGATGCTTGGCTTTGGATTTGAAGCCCGGCACCCACCCCGGGGGGTAGCCGTGCTTTTTGTAACACTTGTCAATAGTGTGTCCAATCATCCCGTAAAATGTGCATTTTGGTTTGCTTCCTCCATTGTTTGTGTACTTCTTACCATTGTAAGTGTTAATTGCAGCAACCAAATCATCTGTGGAATTCTGAACCATCTCAGTTGTAGCACCCCGAAATTTTTAAACTTTTAAAGCTTATATAATAAAGGTGAATTCTCATTAAATCCCAAAATCAACATAAGAGTGCGGTGTGCTATGCCACATCTGAGCTAGAAAACTCAGATGCACAAGCTAAACTAACTAAACAACCTCAAAGCAATGTCAATACATAATCATAGCACGCAGGCCGAAAGGGAAACTAACTAATCTTCGCTCCGGATCTCTAGCGCGCTCCGGTGTCTATTCATCTGTGCTTGAAAGCCAAATATATCTGTTCAGCGAATGATGCTGGTAACCCACTCCAACGCGTTGAAATACAATGTAGGTATATATATATATATATATATATATATATATATATATATATATATATATATATATATATATATATATAGGCTGCGGTTCCGGTGAGGTCCCTATGGTACATGAGATAATGAGATCCAATCTCATCCATCAATACATTCTCAATAGATGGTTGAGATGGCAAGAGAAATGTTAACTAATTAAGGATATTTTTAAATCACAAGGATTAAAAAGTAATTGTATCAATGTGTTTAATTTTGGTGAGAATTAATAATGTAATTTTTACCTTATTTTTAGGGACAATATAAATGGTAACAACTATTAATAACTTGTGTATACAGATGTTGAAGGGAAAACATGCGTAGCCTGGAACGACATAATCTTAGAGTTTGGGAATGGCTAGTAACAACATTGTTATGTGCATCTTTATTATTATTATTATTTTTTTTTTATGATTCTATACGGTGGCGTGTGCGTGTAAGTTCTAAGGCGTGTGCAAATTTTAGGGTCAGGTTATTTGAAAGTTGTTTTTTTTTTTTTTAAATTTTTTATTTGGTGTGTGTGAATTCATGACGTTGTTTTTATTTAAAGAAAAAATATTTAAAGTGTAAAACGCCTTTTTTTTTTTCCGACCTGTGGAATATAATACAGTAGTGTGTGCGTATATATGTTATGGCGTGTGAAAATTGAATATATGGTTTTTATTGTTTTTATAAAGCCGAAATTAGTATTTGGTGTGACCATGAATTTATGTTGGTGGGTTGTTTGTGAAAAAGATTTAAAGAGTAAAAAGGCTAGTGTTGTTGTTGTTTTTTTTTTTTTTTTTTTACGGACGGAGGTATATATTACGGTACTGTGTGTGTATAAATGTTATGACGTGTGCAGCTTGAAGGGAGGGTGTTTTTTTTTTTTCTTTAATTTTCCGAAATACGTATTTGGTGTCTGCGAGATTTCATAAATTTGGTATTTGGTGTGTGCGTAGATGTGCAACAGTCTGTGCAAGTTATTGCAAAGCGGGCTTCGCATGACTTTATTATTTTTAATTTTAAATTTGTTATTGTATTTTAAAATGGTTGGTGGTCTGAGTGAGCATGAAACATCCAGTTTTCTATTTGTTGTGCTTAAATTTAATAATGTAATGCAGAAGTACTGGTCGTGCCATTGTGACAATCGTGTGTGCGTATCTGTGTTCAGGCGTGTGCATATTATACCATTACGGTCACTGCTATTTTTGTTTTTTATTTTTTTAAAAAAATGGTTACAAAAACTAAAAACTAATTGTGTGCGCATTCATCACGTTGTTTTAATTTCAAACGGAGAACATGATAAAGATACATGGCGTTGGGATTTTATATGTTAACGAAATTGTTTATTAACCGGGATGTGTGCATAACTATTGTTGGGCATGTGCAATTTACTAATAGTGGGCTTCCACAAGATGTCAGTATTTGCATTTTATGTGTCGTTAAAAGTACGAAATTGTTATTTGGTGTGAGCGTGAAATCGTGATTCATTCATTTTAAAATGGAATCTTACAGTGGTGTGTGCATTTTTGTGGTATGGTGTGTTTCAAGTAAATTATACCATTATATTATTGCTTTCAAGTAAATTCTTCTTATCTACTTATATATACACCGAAAGTAGATTTGCAGGATACAAAACGCACAAACTTCATAATTCACTCGCACACACCTAGATATTAAAAGTCCAAAAGAACAAACTCAGGAACAGAAGCACACACAGCAACCAAAAGTAATAACGAAGCCAATATGTTAACCAAAGAATCACAAAAAGAACCACTAATCATAAACTAACACACGCACACTAAACAGTAAAGAACAAAATAAAATAAAATAAACCATGAAAACCCATAACCGATTAAAAACCCAAACAACACCAATAATCCGAGACACATCCTAAATACACAAAAACCCCAGCATCCTTAAGTAAAGAGTAGAACTCTCTTCAACGAGAATCAATAGCTTTCATTGGTTGTGCAGAAAGAAAATTCTTCTAGCAGTATTCATATCCGGCAAGATATTTTTCAGCATCTCTCCAGCCTTCATAAGCACGGACAAAAGCAAGATGGTCACTATAATCATGAGAAACCTGAGCCTTCGTAGCTTCAGCTAGCTGAAAATAAGAAACACCCCCCAACCCAGAATCATGCAACAATGAAGAAGGAGTCTAATCAGTAAAACGTACATTGAACAACAACGGAGGACGATCCACGACGCCGCAATGAACGCCTAGATGATTCACCGTCCATGAGTTAGTTGCAGAGCGCCGACGAACGAGCGAGAGTTATACGACTGCGGCCTGATGATTATCGCCGACGCTCGAGAGACAAGAAGATGGAACGCGTGCGGAAGTCTTGAATGTTGACAACACGAGGAAGCCGGAGAGACAGAAAATAACACAAAGTCTATTAAGGAAAGGATTTGACGCATCAGTATAAAAACGGTAACACAAATAATGACTCATTGCTAATTACATTAATACCCCCTTAATGAACGAATCTTCCAATTATAAGCTTGAACCTGCCTTCTAATCACATCCGCACAATCTCAGAAACCAACGCCTTGGATCGACCCTCACCGTACCTCATTTTAATTAGGTACCTCACCTGATCCAAAATCTATATATATATATATATATATATATATATATATATATATATATATATATATATATGTATATATATATATATATATATATATATATGTATATATATATATATATATATATATATAGAAGAGCGCTCATATGCGGCGGGGTCTTACGGTGCGGCGGTGCGGTCAAATTCCAGAATACACCAACAGTGTTAACAATATGCACCAATAGTGTAATAAAAACACACCCCAATGAAATGTAATAAAACATCACAAAATACACCACAGACTCAAAAAAACACACCATATAACTCACCACCCCCAATGGTGTATTTCCGAACAGTGTATGGTGTTTTTACTCACACCTAATGGTGTGTGTTTGGTGATGCAGGGCTCTGTTTACTCTGTTTTGTGTGGTGTATTTCCTAACGTTGATGGTGCATATTTGGTGAACTATTGGTGTTGCCGCACCGTAAGAAATAACCGCACCGTAAGACACTGCCGCACCTGAACCCGCCTCTATATATATATATATATATATATATATATATATATATATATATATATATATATATATATATATATGTATATAGATATACGAAAACCATTTTGAAGAAGGAAGAGATATACTTAGGGGACTCTAGCTTTAAAATCAGGGATAGACTCGGCAAGTAGGGGTAAGCACATTCAACCATGATAAACAGTTATATAGAAACAACATCATAAAACACATGTATCTAAGGTCACAGTTTACTTTCAAATCATCCACATCATCATTCAATCATCATTCAAATCACACAAGCACACCTTGATGGAGCCACGGGACCAATCACATGCCCCGAACATGAGGGTTATTGCATATAGCACTAACATGGCCCCGCAGCACCCTACCTCATACCGCAGCATGAAGGGGTTGATCGCAACCAACCGTACAGACCGCCGATAGCTCGACGTGGGATCACAGCCCTACACACCGCTGACCCGCTCAGTCGGATGAATGCGATCCTCTTTTGGGGACTACGACCCTACACACCGTTGATGAACACAGTCGGTGGATCGTAGCGAATCAAGCCCTACACATTGCTGAGGGACTCAGTCGGTGGGCGAAGATCCTCGGAGACTACGACCCTACACACCGCTGGCCCTTCACTCGGTGGATCGTATCCGACCATAGGCCTACACACCGCCTGATCACTCATTCGGTGGGCTATGGCCTTCCTCAGGTTGGTGGCCCTACACACCGCTGGCGCGTCCAGTCAGTGGACCATCTGCACACGAGGCCCGTGGGCTGTAGCCCAAGAAGTGAATTACTGACCGCAGCCAGGAAAATAAACCACTGCTCATAAACAACCAATTTGACCGCAGCCAACTTTTGAACCGCAGCTCAGGAACAACCAATTTGATCGCAACCAAATTGGGGAATCATGCATCACATAACACATTGTAGCACATAATAGAACATTAGGAAGGGGGAGACGTATAAATCAATTTACGTGTGATCATTCACATACTAAGAGTAGTCCTAAGGGGTTCATGCATTCTTCTCCTAGGCCAACGGGTTACTGATTCACTAGCATGCAATTCCTAAGACTCTTTTATCCTACGAATGGCACCCGAAACATCAAACTAGACTCAAGCACGACAAACGGGGTCTGTTGGGACACCACGGGGAATGAGGAACATCAAACAGGGAAGCCGAGGACCCGGGGTGGGTAACAGACCAGCGGGTAGCCGGTGGGTGGGGGTCACCCGCCGGCTGCCTGTCGGCGATGGTCTTCCAGGCAGCGGGTGGCCGGCGGGCAGACGTCTGCTCGCTAGCTGCTCGCTGCCTGGCGGTGATTCTCGGGCAGCGGGTAGCTGGCTGGTACCCCTATCCCCACCTACCCCCCACTGACTCTTTCATCAAATACGCGTCCCGGGATCCTTTGTGGAACCCGAAACCATGCTTTGACACTTTTTAACGTAAATAACGACACCACATAGGCAGTTAATGGATCAAAAGCAAGAATCATATCGAACACATACTAACATGACTTCTAAACATAAATAACGCCCGAACATGCGAATTCCCGCCCAAGTATA